CATCAGGCTTGATGATGTCCAAAACTAAGTATCTCACAAGCCAAAATAATAAATGTCCTAAAATCATAGTTGTTTCTTATTGGAAATTTTAATAGATAACTTCTAGTCCATTCAATAGAAACTGTTAAAATTTAAAAAGAAGAAAACTTTCAAATAGTAATTAGTAACTAGTGAAACAGATTATTGATATATGAAAAATACTTCTAAATGTGGACTTAAACCTGACTGAAGAGGAAACTGGAAGTCAACATAGGGAATTAGTGTTTATACAGTAAGCAACAGGGACTTAACGGGTTTTTAAGCAGATGTGTGTCTTGCTGGAAACAGTACTCAGGGAAAATTATTCTGAGGGTAGATGTAAATTAGATTAAAATTAGAGCAATCATGATTAAATCTGTTAGGAGCCTGTTATAAGAATGCAGGCATGAAATGATGAGGGTCTGATTTATGCTGTGTTTTCCACAGGAAACTGAAAACTCACCCCTACAGAAATCCCTTTGGCAGAATTTTCTATGGAACCTTGTGGGTGCAAACTCTCACTCTTCTCACTCCTACATCTCCCCAGTTGTGTACCCACTTCTGGTGACTTAGATTCATCTACATACCTCTATCCCTGGCCTGACCTGCTCCCAGGATTTTAGTCTCAGTTTTTGGAACCATCATTGTTGCCAGGTTTGTCTCTCATCGCTTGTCTCACCTCTGCCAACCTGGATTCCTTCTGTAGGTTCTCCTATGACTTGTGTTATTCTGCTTTCCCGTCATTACAGTTTAATTCTCAGAGCTTTACTTCTTAAGTGGCTGTCTGTTCAGGAACGAGTACATTATCCTTTTGTAGTTCCTGACCTCCTGCACTCACCATCTGTCCATTCCAAAATCCTTGCTGACCCAGCTCAACCCTTAGGTCATGCCAAAAAGAAGAGGTGAGGACTGAGCATTGAGAAATACACAATCATTAGCAGACATAAAAACCAAAAAGGAACTCTAAAATAGAGGTTTGAAAGGAAGAAGGATATCCAGGATAGTATAAAGTCACAGAAGCCAATGTACTGCACAGAGTCTGAAAGAAAGTTCAGAAAGGAACCAATAGTATTTTTTATACCATTACTACATGTAATGAAGAATGAAGCACCATTTTAGAGAACTAGAATGGGAGAATCAATAAAATACTTATGTTTAGTTCCATTTGTAAATGTTGTTTGAACAAACAAGCAAAGATTTTATTTGCCTATAACTCCCCAGGCGGATTCCTTCATAAAGTACAGAGGAGGTTTTTTGTGTGTTTTGGGGTGTTTTGTGCTGCTTTTTTTTTTTTCCCCAGAATCTTAGTCACATTAATCAGGTCCCAATGTTCATTCAAAGGAAGATGAAACATGTCTTGGAAAGAAAGGACATGAGCCACATTGGGGAAATGAAGGGTAAAGCCAGGAGCTAGTGTATATCAAGCCTTTCATAAGAAAGTGGATCTGAAAAGAATGGTCAGCAAGACAATAAATATTCTGGGGTATTATTTTCTTCTAAATCTTCTCTCAATGCTATGAGTACATTATATATTATTTATTTTGGCATTATTTACTGGTCTAATGTAGCTTCTGAGAATTGAGAGTTCTATCCAAGGAGTCCTCGTTGGCTGAAGAAGCAGACAGGTTTTCAGTCATCAACTGCTGCATAACAAACCAAAACTTAGTGGTTTGAAACAACAATGATTTATTGATTCTCATAATTCTCTGTGGGTTGACTGGGTGATTTTTCTGCTGGTCTCACCTGGACTCACTCATGAAGCTCCACTCAGCTGGTGGTCAGTTGAGACAGGTGGGCCTCTCTCCACTATTACCCCTGGCTTCTTAAGGGCATGGTGATCTCAGAGCATTGTTCCAAGAGGGTAAAAGAGGCTGAAAGGATTAAGGACTAGTCTCGGAAGTTGAACAGTGTCATCTGCCACATTTCTGTTAGTCAAAGCAAGATACAGGGGCAGCCCATTGAAAGAGTGGGGAAAATAGTCTCCATCTCTTGATGGGAGAATTAGGCAAAGTTACATTGTAAAGGGGTATGAACATGGTAGTTGTGATTTATGGAGGCCATTGTTACAGTCTGCCACAGTCTACTCTCAGGCCCCAATGATTCACATCTGTCCCATGTGATTCTCACCCCTTCTAATATTGCCCAAGACTCATCCAGTCATAGCATTAGGCTCAAAATCTATGATCTCATAATCTGCATCAGGTTAAGATGTCAGTGAGACTCCTTGAATATAGTTCCTTAGTTTCAGACACCTATAAAATAAAAAGGCAAGTTATCCTCCATTCCCTCATATACCCAGTGTATATTGGAGAAATAGAAAACCATGCTACCCTAGACACTGCTGTCTAAAAAAGGGGAATGAGGCATGTGTAACAGTCACTGGTCCATGGCAATTTGGAAATCCAGCCAGGTGCATGTTGGCAGGTTTCTCTGCTTCAAGGGTAGGCAGTGTTCCTTGATGAGGGTCCTGGTCTACTCTCTTGGAGTAGTTCCCTAATCTTTTATTTTCCTTGGCTCTTGGAAACACCCTCTGGGCTCTTGGCTCTGACCTCTGATATCAGTACTCATAGAGGGAATTGATGAAACAGTGGAACAGGTCTCCAGCAATTACCAGTGTTCCTCAATTGAGATTTAAAAGCCTACAAGAGAGCCTTGTGCAAGATACTGTTGGTAGCAGAATCTCTTCCCCAGTAGCCAATCAAAACTTCGTTTTCTTTTAGGTGAAAACCTAAAAGCCTGAAGTTTAGAAAAGACATATTTTTGTTGTTGTGCATCTTCTGCTGGAAATAATGACCAACTTTTATATTCTTTTTACGTTTTAAGCTATTAAATACGTTGTTCCTTCAGTTACGTTCTTACACCTCCTCCCATTTCACTAATTCTTTTATCTACATTTTTATCTACACTTACCCTACCTTTGATAATTGCTTTTAGCCTTGTAATTTTCATGTTAATGTCTGGCCACTGACAGCTTGATTTTCTGGTCCAGTGTATAATACAAATGTTATTCCACTTAATATCCATAATTTTCTCCTCTTGCTCTAATACACATGACACTTTGTACTTCTTGTTCTGTGTATTTTCTGTGCATACTCACTCTAATTTTATTCTGTGTACTTTGGGGAGTATAACAATGGGAATATATCAAATCACATTGCTTTTTCCAGTTTACTTTTTCTAGTTGTGATAATGGAGATTAAAAATTGCTAGACATTTACTGTAGCTATAATATTAGTCACATTGTCTGATTTCTAATACACAAATATAATTAGGCTAAGTAATTTGTTTTGAAACAAATGCCTTAATTGAGAGAGAAGTCATATTATAGACAAAGCATTAATGAATTCTAATTAAGTCTCTAATAATGCTTTTTCACCATGGTCCTTTTAAAATACTAATTTACATATATTATTATCTTGAAGGCATCTTAAATCCTTTAAGGAAGTAGGCCTTCTTCATAATAATCACTCATAATTATATGTAGAGCTAACATTTATTAAGCACTAAATATGTATTAAGTACTGTACTAAATACATAGATTATCTTATTCGATTACCATAACAAATTAATGAAACAGGTACAAAATCAGAACTAGCATACAGGCCTGTTTAACTCAAAGGCCACATGGGGGACCATTGCGCTATATTGATCGATAATGAGTATGAGTATCCATGGCCCCAAAATGATCATTTGGCAAACTTGGGATAAAGGAAGTTTCATTTACAATAACATTCTTATTCTGGCATAATTTATTTTACATCCTGAACCTGAAAAGAGCAATCCTATATAATATATAATTTTATGAAATATGTATAATCTTTAAAATATTTTCATATGCTTTATATTAATGCATTTGTTACCATGAAGTTGTTGAATATTTATTTAGAATTTGCCAATTGTTTCCCTAGTTTGACAGAGGACTAAACATCGAACAATGTGGAATCAGTTCTATAAGGTCTGGCTTACAAAGCGAACAGAAAAGACATAGAATTGTGAGGCCAAATACTAAAGTTCATCAGTGAGAGAAAGAATAAAACATTTCAAATTAATAAATATAATATCAATGATAACATTAAAACATTCATAACCTGCTCTTGAAAGTATAAGCTCACAACTTTTGGAAATATAAAATTTTGACTATCCATATTTGTCTTGAGTCAAATTCTTCAGTCTATAAAGTGAACATATCACATATATGCATGTTTTAACTCAGGAAATATGTAGGGTCATTTTTACAGTGCATCAAATAATTTTTTTAGTAATGGAAAATTTATCAGTCCTACTAATGTAGTAGACATGCCATGATGTGACACCCTGTTATATCAGGTTTTCAAAGACTTATTTTTCTGAATATATAAGTTAAGAAACTTTAAGTCTTTGTAAAAATGAAATATACCAATGACTATATATGTATTCTATATGGTATATATATGTATGTTCTATTCTTTACAAAAAGATTTGTTAAAAAATGCTTATGAAAATTTTCTCAAATTTCAAAACCTGATATAATCATACTAGCCTACATTTCTCAGATATTTGTATCATTCAACTATATTAATTTTTAGTATCTCTCTGGCATATGAATCCGTGTATAAATATATAAAAGATTATATTCCTATGTTTTAATATTCTTTATTAATAAATGACATTTATTTACATGGATACATTTTAATTAAGTTGTAGCTCAGAAAGTTTTCTATTGTAATTAGTCTATTATTTGTAGAACTCTTTCATATTAACTCAATTTCAGGATCCTTGATTAAAGTATTTAGATTGTCTCTGGTGTCAAGTTACATCTGAAAAATTATCCATGAAGGAATTATTTTGTACCATGTTACTGGTAACTTTAAATTTAAATTATTTTCCACTATTATTCTTAAGAGTTCTAAAAGTTATCTAGAAAGTTTTTTAGTAAGAAATGATTTAGTGAAATGTTAAAAAGAAAATATCTTCAATTTTATAAAAATTTTTGTATATTGCAGATATTGAAGCAGAAAAGCATAGTAAAAAGCAAACGGAAAGAAATGCCACTACACAGGTAAATATTTTGCTAAAGCATTACATTTCTGCAGTACAAAATTTAGGCTATAGGCATTATACATAGTACTTATTCAGCATGCTCAGAATTTCTTAACGAAGTAATTGTACTGGCTGTTGTTTCTATTCTTTTTTTTTTTTTTGCTTCATTGTCAATCAACAATTTTTGTTCATTCACTCAAATATTTACTCATTCCACTGTGAGAAGATAAGAATGTTATCCCTGAGCTTTCTCATAAGCTATGACCTGTCTGAGGTTCTAAATATTAAAACAAAAAGGAAAGAGGCCAGTCTGGCTTATAGTCACAGGTGCTTATTAAACTTTATTAACTTCATGATTTCTTCTAACATCTTGGAAGTAGGGGATTCAACATTTTCAGTCTGTTCTCAACCCAGTAACCATTGTTGATCCTATAAATGTAACTCATTTCAAGTCACTCCTTTACTTGAAACCCTTTCATGGCATCCCATCTCACAGAGTAAAACCAGTGCCTTGCATATTAGGCTCTGTGGTCTGGCCCCATATTTCAATTCTGACATTATCTCCTACTACTGTCTCCTTACCATTCTGGACACATTGGGCTCTGTGCTATTCCTCAGAAACCCCAGGTATGCACCCACCTTTCTGCTCTTTCTGGCTGGAACATCCTGGAACCCAGATAACCATGTGGCTCCCTGCCTTCATCTTCTTAAGATCTTTGCTCAACTGTCATCTTTTTGGAGGGTCCTTCCCTGACCATTCTGTAAATTTGCAATCACACTATTTTTAAAATTGCAAGCCCTATCACAACACCTTCTGTCTGTCTCCCTTCCCTGCTATATTTGACCTCTCACAGTTATCACTATGTAACATGTCATATTTTGTTATGTTTGTTCTCATTCTCCCTCCACTGGAATATAAATTCCATGGGAGTAGGGGTTTTTGTCTGTGTTGATCACTGCTACTATCCCAGCAACTAGAACAGTGTCCTACACATAGCAGGCACTCAATAAATGTTTATTGAAAAATCAATAAATCTTAAATCCTAATTAAAGAAGGAAACTTTGAAAAAATGTTTATATAAATTAAAAATTCCTCCCTACATCGCCACATTTTGTAAACTTCTCCAAATTTTGCTGTTCCCCATTACCCTAACTAAAACATTCCATAATGAGCAATGGGATTATTATCTGCGAAATAGAAGTGACCTTGGCATAAGCTCAGAGTTTATCTTTAGACAGGTGGAAGCTAAAAATTCACCAGTTTCATCAGGTCATTTGGCTTTCTCTTGTGGGCTCTTGATATCTTGTGATATGCAGTGCCTGTCCAATAACATATGAAAGCACCCTTTGAAATTAAGGAGCTCCATGAGATCAAGGGCACTGATCATAGGTATCCTCCCCAATGCCCAGCATTAGTCAATGAGGCCCATATAGTAAATACGGAAAGAACCCTAGCTCTACCCATGTAAAGCCAAGCAAAAAATATATAAACTATACTAAAAGATCTCAGAATATGGAAAAAACAAAAGTACTATCTTCATGTCAAAAATGAGAAAACAGAGGGGGAGGAGCAAGATGGCAGAGGAGTAGGAGACCTAAATTTCACCTGGTCCCAGGCATTCAGCTGGATAGGGATCAAACCATTCTGAACACCTACGAACTCAACAGAATATCAAAGAAAAGAATATCAACAACTCTCTGAACACAAAAGCGACCACTTTCTGGAAGGTAGGACATACAGAGAAGTGATTCCGAGGCAATATTCGGGAGGATAGACAGTGGGGGAGGGGGCCTCCGTCAGCTGCTACCGGCAAGTGGTAGAGCAGCCGAGCACAAAATCAGAACTTTTAGAAGTCAGCTCCGCTGAGGGATGTCACTCCAGTGGCTAAGCGGGGGATGGAACCATCTCTGGGACAGTGTGGTCTCAGGACCCTCGGGGTCACACAAAGACCGGGGCTGCCTGAGTGCAACAGAGCTCCCAGGTATCAAAGCAGGGAAGCTGGCTGCAGAGATGGAGCCGAGGAGGAGTGGGCTCTCAGTTCGGGATTGCCATAAACCGTGATCCGCGGCCCAGTCGGGCCACTGCTCTTCCATCAGGGACCAAACAAGTGGCAGATCCGGGGAACTCCCCTTCCTCCCCGGGGAGGAGCAGCGCGGGAGCACACCGCAGGGATCTGCTGGGTTTGGAGACTCCACATGGGGTCCTGCGCCAGAGATAGAAACGCTCGGTCACAGGCCAGGTGAGCACGGAGTGAGGCCGGAGACCGGGGAGACAGGAGTGACTGACTGCTTTTCTCTGGGGACGCAATGAGGAGTGGGACCCCGAGTTCTTGGCTCCTCCAGGGCGGAGATTGGGAGGCCGCCATTTTCACTCTCGATCTCCAAAGCTGTACGGAAAGTTTCCAGGGAACAAAAGCTCCCGAGAGCAAACCCGAGCAGATTACTTAGCCCAGACCCGGCAAAGGCGGGGCAGTTCTGCCTCTGGCAAAGACATTTGGAAACCATGGCAATAGGCCCCTCCCCCAGAAGATCAGCAAGAACAGCCAGCAAGACCAAGTTTACCGATCAATGAGAATGGTGGATCACCAGCACTAGGGGAATACAGCACATAGAATTCATAGCTTTTTTCCCATGATTTTTTAGTCTTTCCAAGTTAATTTTTTTAACTTTTTCTTTCTTTTTTTTGAATTTTTCTTTTTCCTTTTTCAACCAACATCTTCCAATCCCATTTTTAAAAAACTCTTTTTTATTTTTCATTTTTAGAGTTATATTCTATCCCTTCATAGTAGTTAACCTTATTTTTGGTATATATATATAAGTTCTCTCTTTAAAATTTTGGGATACAGTTTCTTCTAACAGACCAAAATATACCCTGAATCTCTAGTGTATGGCTTTGTTCTAGTCTCCTGCCTGATCACATTCTCTCCCATTTTCCTTTTTCTTTTTAAATCCTCTTCTTTCTTTTTTCAACGAACTTCTTATCTTAGCAATTCCTTTTATAAAATCTGTTGTAATTTTCATCTTTACAGTCATAATCCATCCCTTCATCATATTTACCCTTATTTTTGTACATATATAACTTTTTTTTTCTTTAAAATGTTGGGAGGCACTTTCTTCTAACAGACCAAAATATGCCCAAAATCTAGTGTGTGGCACTGATCTATGCACCAGCCTGATCATATTTGATCATATTCTGTTTTTTTTGTTTGTTTGTTTCTTTTTATCTTTTTCTTTTTTTTTTTCCTCTTTTTTCTATCTTTCCCTTTCTTTTCCCCTGGGTCCCGGTCTCTTCTGATTTGTTTAGTATATAATTTTCTGGAGTCGTTTTTACCCTGTTAGCATTTTGTTCTCTCATTCATCTCTTCTCCTCTGGACAAAATGACAAGATGGAAAAAATCACCTCAAAAAAAAGAACAAGAGGCAGTACCGACTGCCAGGGACCTAATCAATATGGATATTAGTAAGTTGTTGGAACTAGAGTTCAGAATGATGATTTTAAAGATACTAGCTGGGCTTGAAAAAAGCATGGAAGATATTAGAAAAACCCTTTCTGGAGAAATAAAAGAACTAAAATCTAACCAAGTCAAAATCAAAAAGGCTATTAATAAGGAGTAATCAAAAATGGAGGCTCTCACTGCTAGGAAAATGAGGCAGAAGAGGGAATTAGTGATATAAAAGACCAAATGATGGTAAATAAAGAAGCTGAGAAAAAGAGAGATAAACAAATACTGGATCATGAGGGCAGAATTCGAGAGATAAGTGACACCATAAGACGAAACAATATTAGAATAATTGGGAACCCAGAAGAAGAAAGAGAGAGAGGGGCAGAAGGTATATTGGAGCAAATTATAGCAGAGAACTTCCCTAATGTGGGGAAGGAAACAGGCATCAAAATCCAGGAGGCACAGAGAACCCCCCTCAAAGTCAATAAAAATAGGTCAATATCCCAACACCTAATAGTAAAACTTACGAGTCTCAGAGACAAAGAGAAAATCCTGAAAGCAGCTCGGGAGAAGAGATATGTAACCTACGATGGTAGAAACATTATATTGGAAACAGACCCATCCACAGAGACCTGGCAGGCCACAAAGGACTGGCATGATATATTCAGAGCACTAAAAGAGAAAAATATGCAGCCAAGAATACTATATCCAGCTAGGCTGTCATTGAAAATACAAGGAGAGATAAAAAGCTTCCATGACAAACAAAAACTAAAGGAATTTGCAAACACGAAAACAGGCCTCCAAGAAATATTGAAAGGAGTCCTCTAAGCAAAGACAGAGCCTAAAAGTAACATAGACCAAAAAGGAAAACAAACAATATACAGTAACAGTCACCTTACAGGCAATACAATGGCACTAAATTCATATCTTTCAATAGTTACCCTGAATGTAAATGGGCTAAATGCCCCAATAAAAAGATACAGGCTATCAGATTGGATAAAAAAAAAAAGACGCATCAATATGCTGTCTGCAAGAGACTCATTTTAGACCCAAAGACATCCCCAGATTAAAAGTGAGGGGGTGGAAAGCCATTTACCATGCTCATGGACACCAAAAGAAAGCTGGGGTGGCAATCCTTATACCAGACAAATTAGATTTTAAACCAAAAACTATAATAGGAGATGAGGAAGGACACTATATCTTACTTAAAGGCTCTATCCAACAAGAAGATCTAACAATTGTAAATATCTATGCCCCGAACATGGGAGCAGCCAATTATATAAGGCAATTAATAATAAAAGCAAAGAAACACATTGACAACAATACAATAATAGTGGGGGACTTTAACACCCCCCTCACTGAAATGGACAGATCATCTAAGCAAAAGATCAACAAGGAAGTAAAGACTTTAAATGACACACTGGACCAAATGGACTTCACAGATATATTCAGAACATTCCATCCCAAAGCAACAGAAAACACATTCTTCTCTAGTGCCATGGAACATTCTCCAGAATAGATCACATCCTAGGTCACAAATCAGGTCTCAACCGGTACGGAAAGGTTGGGATCATTC